GTCTTATCTTGTGGCGATGGAAGCAGCGAAACGTGATTATTTCGCTGCTCTCATTGCGTCTGCAGAGAATTGCCCAGCAGCCTTGTTCTGGGTGACCCGCTCTCTCCTTAATCAGGGAGCAAGGGAGAACCCCTTGCAGGGCAGTGCTGAAGATTTTGTTCAATTCCTGCATGACAAAATCGCTCAGATCCAGACGGGTTTAGACTCTGAGTGGGCAGGGTCTGATGAGGAGATGGGAGCAAGTCTTGAAGGTAACATTTGGGTTGACTTTGACTCTGTTTCCATAGATGAAGTGGACAGGATTGTTGGAAGATTGGGGGCCTCGACGTGTTTACTGGACCCGTGTCCCTCCTGGCTTGTTGCGGCAACCAGAGAAGTGACTGGAGACTGGATCCAGGCAATTGTTAACGCTTCATTGAGGGATGGGGTCTTCCCCGCCACCCTTAAGGAGGCGGTGGTTCAACCCCTCCTCAAGAAGCCTGCCCTGGATCCGGCCTCCCTAAACAACTTTCGTCCTGTCTCCAACCTTCGCTTTATAGCGAAGGTTGTTGAGTCCGTGGTGGCATACCAACTCCCACAATTCCTGGAGGAAATGGACTACCTAGACTAGTACCAATCGGGCTTCAGGCGCAGACACAGCACGGAAACGGCATTGGTTGCCCTGGTGAATTATCTCTGGCGGGCCCGGGACAGGGGTTATTCCTCTGTCCTAGTCCTACTTGACCTCTCAGCGGCTTTTGATACCATCGACCATGGTATCCTACTGCGACGACTCGGGGGACTGGGGGGCACTGTTTTACAGTGGTTCTCCTCCTACCTCTCGGGTCATACGCAGTTTGTCTGGGCAGGGGGTCAGAGATCCTGCTCGAGGCCCCTCATTTGTGGGGTGCCTCAGGGTTCGGTTCTCTCCTCCTTGCTCTTCAACATCTATATGAAGCCATTGGGTGAGATCATTCGCAGTTTCGGGGTGAGTTGTCATCAGTATGCTGATGATACTCAGCTTTACATCTCCACCCCAGACCAACCCAGGGATGCCCTTTCCGTGATGTCTAAGTGCCTGGAGGCAGTGCGGGTCTGGATGGATAGGAACAGGCTCAAACTCAACCCCTCCAAGACGGAGTGGCTGTGGATGCTGGCATTCCATGATCTAGCAGCCCCATCGTTTTTGATGGGAGGGGAGTTGCTTACTCCCTCTGAAAGGGTTCTCAATCTTGGCGTCCTCTTGGATTCGCAGCGGTCCTTAGTTGACCATCTGACGGCCATGACCAGGGGGGCTTTTGCACAGGTTTGCCTGGTGCGCCACTTGCAGCCTTTCCTAGATAGAGATGCCCTCCATACAGTCACTCATGCTCTTGTTTTCTCTCGTCTGGACTACTGCAATGCCATCTACATGGGGCTGCCCTTGGGGTGCACCCAGAGGCTCCAACTGGTCCAGAATGCAGCCGTGCGGGTTGTTATGGGAGCTTCCCGTTAATCCCGAGTTACACCTCTCCTGCGCGAACTGCACTGGCTGCCGGTGGTCCTTCGGATCCGCTTCAAGGTGCTGGTGCTTACGTATAAAGCCCTTCGTGGCATGGGTCCAGGGTACTTGCAGGACCACTTTCTACTGGCCTCCCACTGCCCAGTGCGCTCACATAGGACTGCCCTCCTCCGGGTGCCATCAGCCAGACAATGTCGGCTGGTGGCGCCCAGGATGAGGGCGTTATCTGTGGCACCACCGACCCTCTGGAATGAGTTACCCACTGGGCTCCGGACAGCCCCTGACCTCCGCTCTTTCCGCAGTGACCTGAAGACATGGCTTTTTCAGCAAATCTTCTGATTTATTTGGGAGCTATAGTTTTAATTTGGGGATTTTAAATTGGATTTTTAACATTATTTATTGTCTTATTTTATTGCTGTGAGCCACACTGAGTCCTTCGGGAGAAGGGCAGCATATAAATATTATCAAATAAATAAATAAATATAAGATAGCATTATTACTAGTAAATCAAAAGATATAAAGTCAAATGAAGCAATCTACTGTATTATATGCAAAGCTCCATTTGGAAACTATATTCAGGCTCAAAAGATATTGATTATCTGAACACCCAAAGGAATAAAGATTAGGATGAAATAAGACAATGAAATTTGGCCTAGAAAAAAAGTATTATAAACTATTATGAAACAGAGCACTGCTTTCTATGGCTCAAAAGAAAAGGTTTTCATATCAATATTAAAGGGAAGTTGGGCAACGAGGGGTTCTTATGCTGGCAATATTGAGCAGGGCTGGCCAATCATCTATCAGAGGGATTGTGGCTGTATTCTTCAGATTCTATGCTACATAGTCTCAGGCCTCTTAGAGCTGAGATCTGTAAACAACTTCAGGAACTGCGTGCCAAAGCGGGAGGAGGGGCTGCAATATGTTTGTGTTGAAGAAGCTACCGTTTTTGAAATTTACCTTTCAAATGGACAGTAAGTTGTGCCTTTCATTTCTTAATCACTTTTAAGGACTATTAATCTATTCTTAAGGACTATTAATCTATTAAGGACTATTAATCTAAGTTAAGTTAAAAGAGACTCTCTTTAGTCACAGCCTGGTATGCCTTTTTGAGGACCTGCACCATTTTGCAGATTTCTGGAGGGGAAAAAAGCTGATGGAGAAACATAAAGACTGAAAGCTGTGGTTTTAGTTTATTATTGTAGTAACTTGTATATTGGTCTGCTTTGATGTGGGTGGCGAAAACTTTCTGATTTTTTATGATTCCTGAATGGCTAGCAATTCCTAAGTGAGTTACTAAAAAGCTATTCTTTGACCAAAGAGGGAGTCAAAATGGAGGACAAATTATTAGAGATATATTTGAAATTTCTCTAAATAAAATTCACCAGTTTGTTGATCAGATGTGCTCCAAGGGTGATGATAAAACCTCTCACACTACTTTAGAGATGCAAACCTGTAGAAAGTTACCAAACTACTGAGGCAACTTTACAAGTAACTGAAAATGCGGAGGAGTTAACTTTAATTTTGGAATATAAACCTGACACTTGACTATTATGATGGTTTAAATATAAATCTCTCCACAAAACTGAAAGAAGAGCTTCAAGAAAATCAGCAACTTTTAAAAAGACAAGTTTGGGACTTTTTCTTTAGGGACATTAACAAGGTCAAGAAATCTTTGATAAAAAGGTAGGCTTATAACTAACTACTGGATAAACTTTCCAGAGAAGAAGATTTTACTCCATGAAGACAAGCTGGAAGGACTGACTGAAACTTAATGAGTTAACTGGATCTAGGATGAATTTTTATTTGTTTGATATTTGTAAGTGAAAAAAAGTCTTAATCCAAAATTTGTAAATGCAATTATTATGTACAGTATATACAAAGCTTAAGTAATTCTTAAAGTATGCAAAATGTTATTGAAAGTGTATTTGAGAGTTTCTGTGTTAATAGAACATTAAAGAAAATGTAATAATTTAAAAACAAAAACTGAGTTTTAAAAAGGATGTCTATAAAAGAAAAAATATTATTCGATAGTGGTAGTTTGGAGAGAGGGATCTAAATTTAATACTGAAGTTCAAAGTCTGTGTATTAAGAATTTAAGGAAAAAGATGTATTAGAAAGTTTTGGTTTTAGAAATGTGTTTAAAGAAAAGTTTAGCATTTTAAAAAAGATGAAGAAAATGAATATTTTTCCCTGTAAGGTCAAAGAATCTGAAAGAATACGGTGAACCTTGTTAATAAAAATGGTGATAGTTCATGAAGATTATTAGATGCAAATAGAAATATATACTATTTCCATAGCAAGGAAGATAAAGCAGGAATTGATCATTTTATTCAAAGAGGAGAATATATTTAAGTATTTTTTTCATTTGCATATCAGTTCTGGATTTTGTGCTTGTGATGAAAAAAAAATGAAATTTTGACTTTGGTTTTGTCAATTAGATTTGTCATTATAGAAATGAAGAGTTATATACTAATGTGTTAAAGCAAAAAGTTGAGGCTGGAGTGTTTTTATCTTGTACTGTGCCTTTTTTTCCTTTTTTCCCCCCTTGTATCTCACACTTTCTTTTTCCCCTCTCTTTTTCCTTCCCCTAATTTCTTATTTCTACTTTTCTTTGTGTTTTACATATTAAGTAATAAATAAATAATAAAAATATTGTGAAGTTTGAGGAAAATATTTGCCTTTTTCAGATTGTGTAATAACAATGGAGAGCAACCACATGATTCTGAGAAAAAAAAAATCTGCTTCACTTAGTTTTATATAGGTAAAAACCAGTTTGGTGTAGTGGTTAAGGCATAAGGCTAGTAAACAGGTGACAATGAGTTGTAATCCTGCCTTAGGCATGAAACCAGTTGGGTGACTCTCAGTTCTAAGAAGACAATGGCAAATCACTTTCAAAATATTTTGCCAAGAATAGAGGCTTTGCAATGATGAAAGTACAAATGAAGCACCATCCTTTGAATCATTAAAACCACTGCATCTTTTGCCATATTTCACATGGCTGTTTTTAAAACTGCTCCCAGCAGTTTCCAAATATATGTGAACTACTTTATAAGTAACTTTTAAGTTCCCAAGTGAATGTCATGCACATACCTGCAGAGAGTGGCAGGGGTAACTTTCAAAACAATCTGTGGAACCCTGGCAAAAACATGGTTGCTTTACCAATTTGGAAACAATTGCTCTGTTAATATTCCAGCATACTGCATTTTTAAAAAATAGTTTAGCCTTACTACAGATTATTAAAATTGTCCTTGAAAAGGATAGGCTAAATGAGCTTTAAACATATATAAATGAAAGAAACACAGTATTAAGACCTCGCTCTGTCAATGAATGTTAAGACCTGGCTCTGTCAACTGGCACGGGGATCCAAAAGTGGCACACAACCTCAGGGGTGGTGGTGGATTGAGTGAGTTCTCTCCATCTTTTTAACTTCATCTATTTTTGTTGGGATTTTAGGGGTTTTATAGTTTTTTTAATTGTAAACTTAAATAGTGATGAGCAATTTATAAATATTAGTACTTACCTGCTAGTGCCCACTCCCCAGAGCTGTGAGAATGACCACTGTAGTATAATATATAACTATCATGCCTAGGTCCATCTGATGTCCGAAGTTCAAGAAATGACTTTAGTTTAGAATGTAATGTGTCAAATGAAAGTCCGCTTGTGGAATAATCACAGCCGTAAGTCTCAATCATATGATATGCAAAAAACCTTTGGATAGCATTAAGCATGGCTGTTGACCTCAAATTTAGCTTTTGCACATCCTCAGGTGGAAGCAATGTTGGTTGCCCATCAGAACTGAAGGAAATAGAAGAAAAATTGAAACATTGCAATGAATACAACTTATTATGTTGCTTTACCATCTAATGTTGTATTATGAAATAATTCACCACTTATAATTGCATACATTTTAAAACAGAAATGTTCAGTTACAAATGGCTTAAATTAGCAGCCATCATGGAAAAGTTCTATGTCTCACTGATAGCATATGCAATGGACATAGTTTTTAATATAGTCCTATTTTTCAATGATACGTTAATTATGAATATCTATTTGCTTTCTGATACTTTGTTTCCCCGAAAATAAGACCCCGGTCTTATTTTCTTTTTGGCCCCAAAATTAGCACTAGGTCTTATTTTGGGGGGGGATGTTTTACCCTTAGGATCACCACAGCCACATCTCCCACACCACCTGTTGCGCTGCTGCTCCATTTCTGTGGCTGCTTACGGCCACGAGGCTCATAGCACCGGTACCGCCAATTGTGGCAGGACACCGCGCAGCTCGTAGCATTGGTGCTGCCGCTTATGGCAGGACGCCTTGTGGCTCATCGCACTGGTGCCACCACTTGCGAGAGGACACCACATGGCTCATCATGCCGGTGCCACCACTCGTGGCAAGATGCCACATGGCTCGTCACATTGGTGGTGCTGCTCTGGGCAGGAGGCCGCATGGCTCGTGCTGGTGGCGCTGCTCATGGCAGGACATCCCAAGGCTTGTCACATTGGTGCTGCCGCTCATAGGACACCACATGGTGTGTTGTGCCATTGAGGGGGCGAGCAGTGGCACCAGTGCTACGAGCCTTGCAGCATTGTCGCAAGAGGTGGCAGCAGCACAAGCCATGTAGTGTCCTGCTGCGAGTGGTGCCGACGCAATGAACCATGCGGCATCCTGCCACGAGTGGTGGTAACAGCGCGACGAGCCACCCAACGTCCTGTCACAAGTGGCAACACCGGCACGATGAGCCATGTGGCAACCTGCTGCCAGCAGTGGCGGTGGTGCTACGAGCCTCATGGCATCTGGTTGCCAACAGCCACAGAAGTTAGGCAACAGCATGACCAGCGGTAAAATCCGGCCAGATCTATCCAGTTCGTGTGAACTGGTAGTGCCGGCGGCAGGAGGATCCGCCCTCCCACCGGGACATTATTATGTCCTATTTTTTACTCTCTGTGCATGCGCAGAAGAGGCGTGCACATACATAGTGTGTGTGCAGTTCCACATGCTCCCGTTCCCGAACCTGTAGTGAAGGTAAGTGGACTTCACCACTGGACATGATAAGTGTCGGAGCATGGGAGGTGTGGCTGTGGTAGTGCTAAGGTAAATGGGTGTGGGGCACATGGGTCAGCTCTACCCATCTCACCCTAGCTTGTGCCTCGCCCCATCTTATACAACCAGATGGTGGGCAGAGCTTAACTAGGGCTTATATCAGGCATAGGCGTGAAAATCGGGCTGTGGCTTGTTTTTGGGGCAGGTTGTATTTTCGGGGGAAACAAGGTATTTATAGAAGCAGACTTTAGCTGAAAATGCAAATGTGAATGGTTTTGCTCAGACATTAATAGCCATTTCAAGAAAACCTAGCTGTAATCAGCAGACATACATTGGCACCAATTGTTCTATGACCTAGAAGAATGCTCCCCCTCATTTTTCGATCAGTTTTAGTTGACAGAGCATTCAAGGGGTTATTAGAATCTTTTCTGCATATCTAATCTCATTCATTACTTCTCTCCAACCCGTTCACCTCCCAAACAGATGAGATGTCACATAAAACATTGATAGACAGTTACAGATACAAAGTTCCAAATCCAAAACTATTATAGAAAATAGGCAAACAGCCAAATCGGTGTGAACAGAAGGTGTTTTCCAAGGAAAAGAAATAATAGTGATAGAACTTCATTTGGAATGCTGTTTCTTTTATAAAAAATATGACTTGAACTTGCTGTTAGGAATGATTCCATTCAGAACAAAAAGCAATTAAGATTACCACTGTTTTCTTTCTTAAAGTTTAAAGTGATCATTATGTCAGTTTTAATAACAAATCAATACATTCCCATGGATTTCTTAAACTTCGCAATTTTAGGATATGTAAAGGAGAAAAATGCAAATCTAGTAGAGAAATTAGCATAATTAGATGACTGCAATACTGTGTATTAAATAACATGTATTTGCATTAACACTTACCTACAAAAATTGGTAGGGATCACAACTGCATAGCCAACACATGTGCCTCCCAAACAACTTCCTAGTTCATGAAATAACCCATGAGCCATAGATTCAAGGGGCAAGACAATCAAAAAAACACTCATGAAGATTCCATTGGATTTCTACAACAAATGAATTTGTTGTAAGAATTGAATGCATACAATTACAGTTTTATCAGTTTGCAAATGAAAATACATAACATTTAAAATCACAATATTTTAAACATGATTCAAATGCAATAGCGTAATCTTAACAATGCTAATTCTCAATTTGGTCCTAACCTCACCTCCCAAAAGGTTCAATAGTATGCACTACAACTTTTAACAAAAATATAGCTGAAAAAGCTTATTAAGTATATGCACAGACTAAGCCAAATATTTACAGTAGAAATAGTAGAAATACAGTAGAAGGTCTATATTTGTATTTCTGATTTTTAAAAATATTAATATTTCTTATATAAATATGCTTTTCAAGAAAATGCATATTTATATAAGAAAAACGTAAATATTTGGCTGAGTCTGTGCATATACTTAATTAATGAACAATTCCACTGCAGTGGAAAGAAGTATACAGTCTTTTTTTCCCCTGTCATCCAGTTAACTGACACCTGTCCTCTTTCTTGGTGGTTTAGGAGGCAGTTGCAATACATCTATATAACAATTCTCCCTAGTTGAAAACTATTGGTTTGTCATCTGTCTTAGTGCTTACAAATATAATGAAGTAATACTAAAAATAAGGAAATTAATAGAAACTATTGTTAAATGGTTTTAATTATGATGATTTTGTGGCTAAAAGCAAGTTGAGGGGGACCAGGGGTTGATGAAAAGAACACAGAGAAACCTAAGGAGCTACTTCCTAAATTAGAGAAAGAATTAACTATCAGGTTTGCTCTGAAAGCAACTTGGTTTACAGATCTTCTATCTTTCAAGGAGAAACTAAAATTAGTGTAACTTTAACCATCCCAGTTAGACAAACAGCTGATAGAACTAAAAGATATTTCCTGTCTTGGACTTCCGGTTGGCTTTTGGCGCGCTTTGAGACGCTCCTCTGTGAGCACTCGATCCCCGGCACCGTAAAAGCCTCCAGAACAGCAAAAAACAGCTGTCTGGAGGCTGGAAACCCTCTCCCTGGGCAAAGGGGAGAGAGGAGAGCCAACAGGCCGAGGTAGAGCCCCCCAAGTGCCCTAGGAGAAATTCTGGGGCGCGAAGGGCGAGAGCTCCCTAGAAGCCTGTCAATCCGCTCCGGACCTGGGTCGACTCTGCTAATTAGCAGAGCAAGAAGCCGCAACCAACTCTGCTAAATACAAATGAGGGGAACTACAACATCCTGAATTGCTGCAGGCAGAACAAGCCAGGAGAAGTCAGACTGCAAGTATTCAACTTAACTCCAATGTTTATTGCCTCCTTCAGAAGTAACAATTTAGTAAATTTGCATCAAAATGGCGATTGAAGCTTGAAAAGAGCGTGGAAAGTGAAAGTTAAAGGAAAGTTTCATTTCGCTGGAAGCCTCTTGCCTGAAAAGAGCTTTTGTAATGAGAGAAGGAGGGTTTTAAGACGTCAATTTAAGATTGGGAAAAACGTCTGACTTTGATGAACTTTTCCTTTTGGCTTCTGACTAAAATATAAAGATTAATTTAACCTAAACTGAGAATGGCCTCAAAACCTGTAAAGACTGTTTCCACTAAAGGAACTGGGAGTGCTGGAAGTTCCCCAGCTCACACTTTTAAAATGCAAACCTCTGCACCCCCAACAGACCCACAGACTTTAACGATTGAAATGATACAAGAAGCCCTAATAGCTACACAGACTAAACTTGCCACTGTGATTAACGAAAAAATTAATGAAACTAATGAAAAAATACAGGCTGTTTCAGAGGACATTTCAATTCGGAATCAGGAAATTAGGGAAGATATATTACTGCCATTTAAAGGTCTGGCAGGCAATATTGAAATATTGGATGACAAAGTTGAAGAAATTAAGCAATCTACAGAAATTTTGAATAATAAAGTTGTAGAGACTCAGAATAGAATTGAAAGGGCTGAAGCTGATGTAATCATGATTCAATACAGGGATATGGAATTTGCTTTAAGAATAAGAGGGGTGAAGGAAAACAAACAAGAGAATTTGAAAGAAATGATGTCAGAGGCATTGGCACAGATGTTAGGGGAGAAGAAAGTGGAGTTAGGCTGGCAGATTGACAAGATATATTGTCAATTTGTGGGTGGCCAGACAAAAACATCTACCAAGAGACATTGTAATATATTTTACTACAAGGAGATTACGCAATGAAATTTTACAGGCTACCTTCAAAAACAAGCTTTAGGTGGAAGGCCAGGAGGTGATGACAATGAAAGAAATTCCTCCCAAAATGTTGAGAGCTAGAAGGGATTATGCCTTTCTGGTGGATGAACTGAAAAAGCATGAGATACAGTATAGATGGGAAGTGCCAGCCGGCCTAGTGGTGACATATTCGGGAGAGAGATATCACGTTAATCCAATATGGAAAGCAAGAGATTTTTACGTCAATGTGTTAAAGGCTGGGACATCCAAATCACCAGAAGGAAAAAGAAAGAAGGAAGTAATGGAAGGAGAGAGAGAAGAGCTGATGGCAGTAGTCCAGAGGGGAGTTTCAATGAGTCAAGAAGAATTGTTACAGATTGCTGTTCAAGATTTGGATTTAATTGATATATCAGAAGAACCAAAGGATCAAAGACAGACTAGAGCAGCAACAGCTAAACGCAGGGAAGAATTAAGACAGTAACAACTTCAGATGGCAACTCAAGAAACTACCAAAACAGAAGCAGTGGGAGGAGCCAGACCTAAAGGTCAAATGAGGCAAGAACATCAGAAAGTGCTCCAGAATGGAATCAATAATCTTGATGAAGGACATTATACAAGACTATGGTAAAGTTTCAGGTTTTAGACTGAATCCAAAAAAGACTAAAATGATAGCTAAAAACATGACACAAGATCGTAAACATGAGCTTGAAAGGAGGGCAGGTTTTGAGACTGTACCTAAGGTAAAATATCTAGGAGTTCAGGTTGCAGAATCAAACATGAAATTGTTTCAAAATAACTATGAGGTGTTGTGGCGAGAGGTGCAGAAAGATATGGAGACTTGGAAAAAACTGCAGCTGTCTCTACTTGGAAGAATAACAGCAGTTAAGATGAATATTTTGCCAAGATTTCTTTTTTTGTTTCAAATGATTCCGATGCTTAAAAGTGATAAACAATTGAAAGTTTGGCAATCTGGAGTGAATAAGTTTGTCTGGAACAAGAAGAAGCCGAGAGTGAAATTGAAAATTATGCAAGATGTTCCAGAAAGAGGAGGTCTTAAACTTCCAAACCTACAGCTATATTATGATGCAGCAGCTTTAACTTTAACAAGTGATTGGTTTGGAAGTAAAAAGGTTGGAATATTGAATGCAGAAAGTTTTGATCTTGAATTTGGATGGCATGCTTACTTATTTTATGATGACAAAGTTGATAAAGTATTTAAAAGTCATATACTTAGAGACTCTTTGATGAGAGTTTGGAAGAAGCACCGACTCAAATGGGATTATAAAATACCGTTATGGCTGGATCTTGGTCATACTTTGTGGAATACAAATATAATGTCACTCGGGGGGTTTTTATACAAAGAGGTTCTTTTTACAGATTCGGGCAGATGGCAGCTGAAGACATTGCAGACACTGTTGGACGAAGGGATTAATTTAACTTGGTTACAATATAATCAATTACAATTGAGATGGAAAGAGGACCAAAAAACTGGTATTATGTTGCATGAGGAAGAATTGGTTAGACATATAAGAGAGAAAGGTCCAATGCATATCAAGAGGCTTTATAATGTTTTGCTAGAAAGGGACTCAGAAACTGAATTAGTTAAAGATTGTATGATTAAGTGGGCACAAAATTTTGAAGAACCAGTGATGGAGGAAACATGGGAAAAAAATTGGGTTCAGAATGTTAAATTTACACAGTCGCAGAACCTGAGGGAAAATTTCTATAAAATGTTTTATAGATGGCATTTAGATCCCAAAAAGTTGTCATGTATGTACCCTAATGTTCAGCCAAAATGTTGGAGATGTGAATGTTTGGATGCTACGTATTATCATGTTTGGTGGACCTGTAGGAAAGTTAAGGCTTTTTGGATAAAAATTTGGTGGGTCATGCAGAATGTTTTGAAGAAAAAAATTCAATTCTCTCCACAATTGTTTTTATTGGGTATAGTTAAGGGTTTTACATTGGGTGAAACAAAATTGATATTGTATATGATAACAGCAGCAAGATTGTTGATAGGTAAATACTGGAAGAATGAAGCTTTGCCCACTATCGAGGAATGGACTTTGAAGATGGCCAGTTTTGCAGAGATGGCGAAGATTTCAGCATATTTAAAAGATTGTTCACAAGAGACTTATGAATGGGAATGGAAAAGGTGGATAGAATATGTTCAGAACAAATATCAAACTAGAAAGTATCAAATAGCTTTTATTTGAAAATAATGTATTGGAAATATTTTAATGTAATGAGGTAAAGAGAAAAATTATATAGGGGAGGGAGGGGTTCAAGTTTATATATAAGTGTTATATTAAGGGTTTTTTATGAGTATGAGTATATTATAGGGAAGTCTGGGGGGAGAGGAGGGTTAGGGAGGGTTAGGGAGGTTGGGAAGTCTGGGGGGGCAGGTGGGGGGGGAAAGGGGTGAAAATGTAATTGTAAAACTTTTGCAATAAAAAAAAAAAAAAAGTGCTCCAGATGCTTCAGAGGCCCAGAGATGGGAACTAGATTTTTAACCTGGAATGTCAACGGTTTGAATTCGCCACAAAAGAGGAGGAAAATATTTCACTATCTTAAAACAATTTAAGAATGATGTAATTTGTTTACAAGAGACTCATATTAGGATACAAGATCAAAAATATTTGACAAATACAAGATTAGGTACACATTATGTAGCAGCAGCACCAGAGAAGAAAAACGGTATAGTCATATATTTGAAGAGAGACTTAATTGCCAAATTAATTGAAGCAGATGATCAAGGAAGATTTTTAGCGATTGAACTTTTAATAAAAGGAGAAAAATTACTGGTAATTGGAGTATATGCCCTGGAGTATATGAACCAACAA